GAGAGGAGGCAGGGGAACACGCTGCGGAGCAGAGGAAGGACGCAGGGCCATGAGGTGTGTGCCGGGTACAGCCGGCGGACGCTCACGAGGAACACGACGACCAGTACGACCAGTGCGGACAGTGCGAACAGGCGAGACAGGACGAGACGCAGGCTCACGACGCTCAGCAAGACCGCTTGTCGGCTCAGTGTAAGGAGAAGGAGCAGGCAGCGGTGAGCCAGGCTGTAACGGAAGACCAGTAGAAGACGGGAGGCTAAGAACCTGGCGAAGGACGGAGCCAGGCGGTGGCAGAGACGAAGGTGACGGCGGAGCAAAGAACAGTCGCGGCGGTGCAGTGCCACCAGCACCAGTAGCTCCAGCACCTCCTGCAGCACCAGAATCTCCAGCGCCAGCACCCGCAGCAGCTCCAGAACCTCCAGCTCCGGCGCCACCAGCGCCAGCACCTTCAACAGCTCCAGAACCTCCAGCGCCAGCACCCGCAGCAGCTCCAGAACCTCCAGCTCCAGCGCCACCAGCGCCAGCACCTCCAACAGCTCCAGAACCTCCAGCGCCAGCACCCGCAGCAGCTCCAGAACCTCCAGCGCCGGCACCCGCAGCAGCTCCAGAACCTCCAGCTCCAGCGCCACCAGCGCCAGCACCTCCAACAGCTCCAGAACCTCCAGTGCAAGCGTCGACAGCAGCACCTCCAGGTCCAGCAGGACCTCCAGTCCCAGCAGCTCCAGGACCTCCAGTACGAGCACCTCCGGGACCAGCTGCTCCAGGAACTCCAGTAGAAACAACTCTAGTAGTAGAGTCACCAGCTCCAGCGCCTCTCGCAGCAGGGCCCCTTGCTCCAGTAGCGCGACCCTGACGGCTAACGTACCACTCACGCAGCTGCTGTGGGGAGAGAGGGGCAGCGCCGGCTCTAGTGCCTCCAACACCAGCGCCTCCCGCAGCAGGGCCCCCAGCTCCAGCAGCTCGACCCTGACGGCTAACGTACCACTCACGCAGCTGCTGTGGGGAGAGAGGGAGACGACGACGAGAGTGCAGCGGCGAGGCACCAGCGGAGCGACTACAGAGACGGTCGCTCCAGGGAGACTGCTCACCAGACGCCTTAGCGCCCCCAGGTGCAGCACCCCCAGACTCAGTACCCCCAGGCTCAGCACCCCAGGCTCAGCACCCCCAGGCTCCGCACCCCCAGGCTCAGCACCCCCAGAAGCAGCACCTCGAGCAGGACCACCCTCAGCAGGACCTGAGTCACCAGTGACCTCAACCGGCGCAGTCAAGGGAGGAGGGTCTACCTAAGACACACCTGAAGGAGCACGACCGGGAGCGGGGAGGGGGTCTACCTGGGGAGCACCTGGAGCGAGGAAGAGCGGCGGGGGGGGGAGAGGGGCAGTGCGGTAGGGGAAGAGACGGTAAAAGGGAACCGACTCGTCGAACGTGACGTCCTGAGAGGGGAAGACACGGCGCGAGGTGGGGTGGTAAAACTGCCAACCAGGCGCGTCAGGGACAAAGCCAAGGAAGACACATGGAACAGCGCGGGCGGAGAGCTTGTATGCGGTGGTATCGCGGACAAAGGCATGAGAACCCCAGACCCAGAACACCGACGCATCGCCAACCTCCCCCGTCCACCGCAGTGTGGGCGAGGTCTCCGGCAAGGAGACACGGGGCCAGAGGTTGAGCTGATGCGCGGCGTAGCGGACCGCAAACGGCCACAGAAAATGGGGGGCAGCCGCATGGACCATGGAGGTACGAGCGACCTCCATGACCAAGTCTATGCGGCGCTCAGCAACCCCATTCTGCTGCGGAGAGGCCGGAAGCGTGAACGTCTGGCGAATGCCCTCCCCACGACAAAAGCTCTGCAGAAGGTCGGAGGAAAACTCCCCACCTCTGTCAGAGTGCAGACGCAGGACGGGAAACTCCGTCCTGAACCGCTCGCGGAGCTGGAGACGGGCAGCGCGGATCCAAGGGATCAAAACATCAGGGACCTCACCCTTGGTGCGCAAGGGGAAGACCATGGTGTAACGCGAGTAGTCGTCAACAACCAGCATGAAGTACCGCTCGCGGTCCTGCCCACTGACGCGGGCCGGGCCCACACGTCCATGTGCAGGGTCTGCAGGGGAGCAGTCGTCGGGGGAAACGAGGAGGAGTGAGGAGCGGCGCGCTGCCGCCCCTCGACACAGGGAAGACGTGGAGGGAGCGAGGGAGCGAGGCGGGGAGGAGAACCGAGGTGGGAGGGGAGGGAGAACCCTGGGAAGACCAGAGACAAGGACACGACGGTGCATGCTACGAAGGCGCTGCACCGAGGGGTGACCAAGACGGTGGTGCCAAAGGAGGGTCTGGTGCGACAAAGCGCGACACGAGCAGGGAGCCGCTAGCTGACCTGACGCAGACGCAGACGCAGCTACCTGAGGGGACACAGTAGTCAGTGTGTACAGACTCGAGAGCCAGGCGCACGGGTAAACGTGGCCAGGTGCCGGCCCGTCCGGGAGCACGTACAGTGGGTCACGCTCTGACCTCCAGGAGTTGAACTGGTCAACCCACTGGTCCTGGAGGTCAGCACCACTCACCAAGTTCGTAGAGAATGAGGGGAGGTGAAGACCTGACAGGGAGCCAGATGGGACCGCCGGACACGGGAGGACCGTGGAGGGAGTGCGCAAGGACTGGACCCCCAGAGGGGTCTGCTAGGGAGACTGCAACCGGCCGACTGAGTGGGTGAGGGTGGTGATGTCGCGAAAGAAGGAGCGGGAAGCACCTGAGTCATGTGTGAAGGTGTACAAGGCCTCAGCAGGCGCAGTACCAGAGAGAGCAGACTCACCAGCATCTGGAGCAGCAGCCTCACCAGCACCTAGAGTAGGAGACGCACTAGCACCTAGAGCAGCAGCCTCACTAGCACTAGAGCAGAAGATGCACTAGCACCTAGAGCAGCAGCCTCACCAGCACCGAGAGCAGCAGGCTCTATACCTTGGTCAGGCGGTACGCACAGGTAACAGGCACTAGTAGGCAATGCATACATGGCAGTGAGAATAGCATCATAGTCAAGAGCAAAGATATCTACCCGCTGCCTAAGCAGCTCCAGCCAGGTGGGGAGCTCAGCCTCGTCGCCAAACTCGGTACGCCAGGCGTCGCTCAGACGGGCGAAGCAGCGGGACTGTGTGTGACCAAGCGTCCCGCAAGCCTGATCAGCCCGATCACCTGTGCGAATGACGTACGGGCAGCGAACGGTCCTCCGAGACCCTCTACTCTTAGCGTACCATTCACGAAGCTGCTGGGGCGTAAGTGTCTCGCGCGGACGCGGATGCAGCTGCAGCTGGCCACTACCAGACGCTCCCGACTGACCAGCTCCAGGGCGACAGCCACGACGGCTACCGCCACAACCCCAACTAGCGTACCACTCACGAAGCTGCTGGGGCGTGAGAGACTCGCGCGGACGTCGCTGGAGCTGCATCTGGCCACCGCCAGTAGCAGTAGTAGCAGCAGTAGCAGCAGCAGCAGGGCAGGCGCGGCAGGCAGGCGGGCAGGCAGGCAGGCAGATGGCGGTGGCAGCGCGCTACAGCCTACACAATATGAACAGTATAACAGTTTGACACAACAGCGCGGGTTTCGCTGCTGCAGCGCGGACTCCACTCCGCTTCCTAGCTGCGCGCTGCTACCGTACTTGCAGTTCGGGGGCTGAGCGGCCAAATCGCGGATTGGTCAGCAAAGTCGCGCTTTTGCGGCTAGGTCGTAGGCGGGGCGGCTAGATCGCGGGCTGAGCGGCTAAGACTAAGACGCGGGCTGGGCGGTTAGATCGCGGCCTAGGCACGAAGATCACGGGCTGGGCGGCTAAATTGCGGCCTGGGCGGCTCGATCGCGGCCTGGGCGGCTCGATCGCGGTCTGCCCACGTAGATCACGGGCTGGGGCCGGTTTGCTGCTGCTGCATGCGGCGAAACCGCTGTCTGGGCGGCTGAATCACGAGCTGGGTGGCTAGATCACAAGCATCTAGCGAGAAACAATCTGCTGCCTGCGAATCGTGCTGCTACTAGAGGGAAAAGCGCTGCTGACTACGGATCGCTCTGTGATGGTGATTTAACATACAAAATTATAGAAAGGGCCTCTTTGGAAATATGTCAGAAACCTGTCAATGAGCTGGAAAGTGAACAAGTCACCAGGCAGCTGGTATAGGCGATGGATAACGGGGTATAGTACGCATTATACAACAATTAAGGATTACAATTGCCCTTACAGGTTTAGCCGAAAAATTAAGTGTAGTAGCATGGCGAGAGTCAGCCAACCTACAATACAGAGCACACATTTGTGTGCACAACTCAGCCCAACTAAAAACCCACTGAATCAGCCCACCGAACACGACCGAGCGAGTGTGTTTTAGTTGAGGGGCTCCATGGGGAACTCCTCGACGGGGCTCAGCTGCTTGGCGCGGTGGTACTCGGTTTGCGCGCAGTCCACGGACAGCACGGAGCTCGACTCGTACAGCCGGGGAGTGCCGTCAAGGAACCCAGCGCCCTCTGGCTGTCGGCCGAGATCGGACGGTGCAGGTTCGCGATCAGGCGCTGGAAGTCGGCGGCGCGAGCGGCGTGGTCGGGGCGGTACGTTTGGCCGAGCACGCCGTGCACGTCGTCGGTGTGCTCCAGCTCTACAATCCCCACGTTGATGTGCGCCTCGGCCTCGCTGGGCGTCTGCAGCTTGGGGTTGGCCACGCGCAGGCGCAGGTCGAGCGTCACGAGCCCGTCGATCGCGAGCGTGTAGTAGTCCACGTCATACGGGCCCTCCTTCTCCAGCGCCGCGAACCGCAGAGTCAGACCGCCCTCCGCCGTCACCTCGTCGCCCACGTTCATCCTCGGGATCTCCTCGCCGCCAATCTCGATCGTCTTCATGAATCCGTCGCCGCGCTCCTGCTGTTTGCCAGAGCGCGCCGCGAGCCGCACCTTGTGGTCGGCACCGTTGGCGAACCACACGATGCCCAGCTCCTTAATCCACGTGTGCACGGCCTTGCCGTCCACAACGAGCGCCGCGTTCTCGTGTGTCGTCCGAGTAGTACCGCGCGCAGCAGCATGTTCACGTGCAGGTCCTTGTCCGTCAGCAGGCAGAACGCCTTGTCGGGGCGCCCGTTGAAGTCGAAGTGCGTGCCGTACGCGCCCACCAGATGCGGGTCGTTCACCACGTTTGCCGCGGGGTTGCACTCGCCGCCCGTGCGCACCTGCAGATGAACCGGCTTCGAGTCGGTGGCGTACTGCGCCGTCATGTCGCCGCACGAGTAGTCGATGTTGTCGTGCACCAGGTAGCATGCGCCCTCCGTCTTCTTGCCGTCGATCGTGATGTCGGGGATGTACTGCCAGTACGTGCAGCTGCTGTCCCCGCGCACGTGTTGCAGCACGTCTGCGGGGACGCCTTCTTCAGCGTCAGCGGGTTGCCCTTCACGTACACCTCCACGCCCAGCTTGTTCTTCAGCAGGTTCGACGTCTTCCACTTGGCGGCGATGCCGCCCTTGCTGCAGTTGGCCGGCGTGCACGCGCCCTCCCCGGGCTTGCCCAGGTCCTTGTGGCACTTCATTTTGTTCCATCCCGCAACCTTCACGTCCACCATCAGAATACTGTCCGTGCTCGAGCTCACGATCGTCGTTCCCTCGAACTTGTCAAGCCCGCCGGCGGCCGCCGCCTTCTCGATGCCAGGAGGGACCTCGGTTGCCACGCCATTCTCGCCCTTGGCCTTGTCCAGGTTCACCGCCGGGTTGTTGGGTCCAGTCACCACGGTTTGACCTGCGGACGCCACCGCCAGCAGCACGGCGAACGTTGCGACGAAAAGTAGACGCGCCATGAGGTACGTTGTATGTGTTATGATATGAATGTTATGATATGAATTTGACGACGATTGCTGAGATTCTTCAGAATCCTTTTCTCTATGGTATGTTAGGTACTCCTATACTTCAATCTGACTGACAGATCTTTTACCACCCTTTTTGTACCAGCACCGATTTGCCTTGTCCGCGTTGTGTGTGGGGTTGGATACCTCGCTTGTGGGAAACTACGTGAACAGTTAAGCGCTGTGTTGGAATTGTTGCGTGTCGCAGCGAGGTCTCGGCTCTCATCCACCCTCGAGTCACCAGTGCCAGGTTTGATTCAGGAGAAACAAATCGCTTGTGCAGTCTCCTTGGATCCAACCTGGATCAGCAGCGGCCTGTGCTTGAATCTTGTTACCTTCGAAGTTCAGGTCACTTCACTTTGATCTCAAGGTGGGTTTGAAAGCGCAGGTCTCTACGGTGAAATTTTGCGCGGCCTGGGAATTGATCGGTTTGTTGCCCTGAGATCCAACCTGACTTGGCAGGTGGATGCGAAAGTCTGGAGTTCCTGCGGCCCGGGTAACCAAGAAGCCTGCTTCCTTTGGTTTGATAATGTGCACCATCGACTGTCGAGTGAGGCTACTTGAAAATACAATAAAACACCTAAAATGCCTGGTGTGTCAAGCACCTAAAAGACAGGTTGGGTTGCAAGGGAAAGGGCAGTCAACTAGCTTTGTTACTTTCCGGTCAAAATACCAGTCACCAATAGCTTCTGCCATTGTCTGAACACATCATATGCAAAGAGAAAATGATGGGGGGGAACAGAGTGTAGAGAACAAATTACTTCGATGTATGAATGGGAGAACACTCATTTGCGTCCACATAACCAGACATGCACAAATCGAACGTGCTATAAGTAGCAAAAAGCTTTATCCATGCAGCACAGCACAACATAATGGCGACATTATTCAATAAAATGACTCACCTTGCCCCCAACACGAGGAGCACCAGCCCCGTGCCATGCTTGCGATGCCAGTGCCTGGTGCAAAGGACGAACAGGTAAGGAGTGAGCAGGGAAGTGAGAGAAAAGGAGAGATAGAGAGGGAGCAACAAGTGGTTCACGGGCCGTGCCTGTGCCACTCACCATGCAGCACCACTCACCATGCAGCACCACTCACCATGCAGCACCACTCACCATGCAGTACCACTCACCATGCAGCACCACTCACCATGCAGCACCACTCACCATGCAGTACCACTCACCATGCAGTACCACTCACCATGCAGTGCCACTCACCATGCAGTGCCACTCACCATGCAGTGCCACTCACCATGCAGTGCAGATGGCAGGACAACAGCAGAGCTCCATTGCGCGAGGCAGAGGCGGAGACCCCTCCTTCCTGGGAGCGGAAAGCCTCGCCCTCCACAACACCAAGCCCATCCCTCTTCATCGCTTCAAAATCCCTCCCCATTTCTCCAACTTCCAGCCCCTTGTGATATCCCAAGTCAGCCCTCTCATCTGCACTCGGCTTCTCCTCCTGCTCCCCTTCTTCCTCCTCCTCATTCCCCTCCACACGTGCACCACCCTCAGTTTCTTTTGCCTCCTCATTCTCTTCCTTCTCCTCTTCACCCCCCCTTTTCTCTTCACTCTCCGACTCCTCCTCACTTCCCTTCTCCTCCTCACTCCCTCTCTCATTCTCACCTCCCGTCTCCTCCCCGCTCTTACTCTCGCCATCACCCCCTTCCTCCTCCTCACCATCACCATCCCCTATGTTCTTTTCCCCTACCTCCTCCGTACCTCCCTCCTCAACACCAATCCCTCCGCCTTCCACCAAAGTCAGGCGGCGGCGATGGTGGGGAGGAGGGCTAAGAGAGTGCGTGGCAGGGAGAAAGGGGGAGAGCTTGGTAACCATCTGGTGGTGGTACCCTGGGTGGGGTGGGGTGGGGTGGGGTGGGGTGGGGTGGGGTGGGGTATGGAGAAAGAGAGGTTCCGGGGCGCATGACGGGAAGGAATTAGATGGGGCAATTTTTTTGAGACGTCTCAAAAATACACTTCTTTCACGTGGCGATTTGGATCAGTCAGGTGGATTATGGTTTTGATGCAGCCACGAGATGTGGGTCTTCTCTAGAGTGGATTTTTGAGTCGACTAAAAAAATCGACTCATCACACGTGGGTCTTCTCTAGAGTGTGGAGAAACCACGAGAGTCGGGCAAGAAAGGGGCGCGGGGAGGGGTTTGGTGCGCGGTGGGGTGCGTGGGGGCACATCACATCAGTGCACGTCGTCGCACATCACCGCATGTCACCACTCATCACCGCACTGTACCGTGGAGCAGCTGCAGCAGGTGGGGGCGGGCAGGAGCGCAGGTCAGTGCGGCAGTGGTGCCAATCCAGAGAGGGGAAGGCATGCTGCTGGGCGAATGAGAAAGACACCTAATGTTGGCAGGAGGACGGGGGAGAGGGAGGGGGAGAGGGAGGAGACGAGGGGCCAAGGTTGGAGGGGAGGGAAGTGCAGGAGGGGACTCTGACCAGACGAACCAGAGTTACCGTGGTTGATGTGGCTGGTCCATCTGCTCAGAAGGTTTAGGTGATTCAATTCAACTCACCATTTAGCATGATTGGTCTAACCTGAAAAAAGTACTTGTCAGGAGTGACCCAACCTGAGGGATTACCTGCCAGGAGTCGTAGAGGGGGTTGAGAACGAAGAAGGGCCGGCAGAGGAAGGGAAGGAGATGCTCCGGGAAGAAGCACTGCGGGCGTGGTTGGGGCATGGTGCATGGCGGATGGTGCATGGGGGATGGTGCATGGCGGATGGTGCATGGGGGATGGTGCATGGGGATGGTGCATGGGGGATGGTGCATGGGGGATGGGGGATGGTGCATGGGGGATGGGCGCATGGTGGATGGGGGATGGTACATGGGGGATGGTGCATGGGGATGGTGTATGGGGGATGGTGCATGGGGGATGGTGCATGGTGGATGGTGCATGGTAGATGGTGCATGGTGCATGGTAGATGGTGCATGGTGCATGGTAGATGGTGCATGGTGGATGGTGCACGGTGGATGGTGGGGAGGAACGGAAGAAATCAATTAGTCATAAATCAGAGTTAATGATTCAGGGATAATAGAATTTGAGTCATGGACGGGCAATGGGCCATGACAGGATTTGGATCATACATGATGGGCAATGTGACATACATGATGGGCAATGTGACATACATGATGGGCAATGGTGACATACATGATGGGCAATGTGACATACATGATGGGCAATTGACATACATGATGGGCAATGTGACATACATTGATGAGGGCCATACATGATGGGACATACATGATGGGCAATGTGACATACATGATGGGCAATGTGACATACATGATGGGCAATGTGACATACATGATGGGCAATGTGACATACATGATGGGCAATGTGACATACATGATGGGTAATGTGACATACATGATGGGCAATGGACATACATGATGGGTAATGTGACATACATGATGGGTAATGTGACATACATGATGGTAATGTGACATACATGATGGGCAATGTGACATACATGATGGGCAATGTGACATACATGATGGGCAATGTGACATACATGATGGGCAATGTGAATACATGATGGGTAATGTGACATACATGTGGCAATGTGACATACATGATGGGTAATGTGACATAACATGATGGGTACAATGTTGACATACAGATGGGTAATGTGTGGGGGAATACATACATGATGGGTCAATGTGACATACGTGATGGCAATGTGACATACATGATGGGCAATGTGACATACATGATGGGTAATGTGACATACATGATGGGCAATGTGACATACATGATGGGTAATGTGACATACATGATGGGCAATGTGACATACATGATGGGCAATGTGACATACATGATGGGCAATGTGACATACATGATGGGTAATGTGACATACATGATGGGCAATGTGACATACATGATGGGCAATGTGACATACATGATGGGCAATGTGACATACATGATGGGCAATGTGACATACATGATGGGTAATGTGACATACATGATGGGTAATGTGACATACATGATGGGTAATGTGACATACATGATGGGTAATGTGACATACATGATGGGTAATGTGACATACATGATGGGCAATGTGACATACATGATGGGCAATGTGACATACATGATGGGCAATGTGACATACATGATGGGTAATGTGACATACATGATGGGTAATGTGACATACATGATGGGTAATGTGACATACATGATGGGTAATGTGACATACATGATGGGTAATGTGACATACATGATGGGCAATGTGACATACATGATGGGCAATGTGACATACATGATGGGTAATGTGACATACATGATGGGTAATGTGACATACATGATGGGCAATGTGACATACATGATGGGCAATGTGACATACATGATGGGCAATGTGACATACATGATGGGTAATGTGACATACATGATGAGTAATGTGACATACATGATGGGTAATGTGACATACATGATGGGTAATGTGACATACATGATGGGCAATGTGACATACACGATGGCAATGTGACATACATGATGGGTAATGTGACATACATGATGGGCAATGTGACATACATGATGGGTAATGTGACATACATGATGGGTAATGTGACATACATGATGGGTAATGTGACATACATGATGGGTAATGTGACATACATGATGGGTAATGTGACATACATGATGGGCAATGTGACATACATGATGGGCAATGTGACATACATGATGGGTAATGTGACATACATGATGGGCAATGTGACATACATGATGGGTAATGTGACATACATGATGGGCAATGTGACATACATGATGGGCAATGTGACATACATGATGGGTAATGTGACATACATGATGGGCAATGTGACATACATGATGGGCAATGTGACATACATGATGGGCAATGTGACATACATGATGGGTAATGTGACATACATGATGGGCAATGTGACATACGTGATGGGCAATGTGACATACATGATGGGCAATGTGACATACATGATGGGCAATGTGACATACATGATGGGCAATGTGACATACATGATGGGCAATGTGACATACATGATGGGCAATGTGACATACATGATGGGCAATGTGACATACATGATGGGCAATGTGACATACATGATGGGCAATGTGACATACATGATGGGCAATGTGACATACATGATGGGCAATGTGACATACATGATGGGCAATGTGACATACATGATGGGCAATGTGACTACATGATGGGCATGATGGGCAATGTGACATACATGATGGGTAATGTGACATACATGATGGGCAATGTGACATACATGATGGGTAATGTGACATACATGATGGGTAATGTGACATACATGATGGGTAATGTGACATACATGATGGGCAATGTGACATACATGATGGGCAATGTGACATACATGATGGGCAATGTGACATACATGATGGGCAATGTGGACATACATGATGGGTAATGTGACATACATGATGGGCAATGTGACATACATGATGGGTAATGTGACATACATGATGGGTAATGTGACATACATGATGGGTAATGTGACATACATGATGGGCAATGTGACATACGTGATGGGCAATGTGACATACATGATGGGCAATGTGACATACATGATGGGTAATGTGACATACATGATGGGCAATGTGACATACATGATGGGTAATGTGACATACATGATGGGCAATGTGACATACATGATGGGCAATGTGACATACATGATGGGCAATGTGACATACATGATGGGTAATGTGACATACATGATGGGCAATGTGACATACATGATGGGCAATGTGACATACATGATGGGCAATGTGACATACATGATGGGCAATGTGACATACATGATGGGTAATGTGACATACATGATGGGTATGTGACATACATGATGGGTAATGTGACATACATGATGGGTAATGTGACATACATGATGGGTAATGTGACATACATGATGGGCAATGTGACATACATGATGGGCAATGTGACATACATGATGGGCAATGTGACATACATGATGGGTAATGTGACATACATGATGGGTAATGTGACATACATGATGGGTAATGTGACATACATGATGGGTAATGTGACATACATGATGGGTAATGTGACATACATGATGGGTAATGTGACATACATGATGGGCAATGTGACATACATGATGGGCAATGTGACATACATGATGGGTAATGTGACATACATGATGGGTAATGTGACATACATGATGGGTAATGTGACATACATGATGGGCAATGTGACATACATGATGGGCAATGTGACATACATGATGGGTAAATGTGACATACATGATGAGTAATGTGACATTACATGATGGGTAATGTGACATACATGATGGGTAATGTGACATACATGATGGGCAATGTGACATACATGATGGGCAATGTGACATACATGATGGGTAATGTGACATACATGATGGGCAATGTGACATACATGATGGGTAATGTGACATACATGATGGGTAATGTGACATACATGATGGGTAATGTGACATACATGATGGGTAATGTGACATACATGATGGGTAATGTGACATACATGATGGGCAATGTGACATACATGATGGGCAATGTGATATACATGATGGGTAATGTGACATACATGATGGGCAATGTGACATACATGATGGGTAATGTGACATACATGATGGGCAATGTGACATACATGATGGGCAATGTGACATACATGATGGGTAATGTGACATACATGATGGGCAATGTGACATACATGATGGGCAATGTGACATACATGATGGGCAATGTGACATACATGATGGGCAATGTGACATACATGATGGGCAATGTGACATACATGATGGGCAATGTGACATACATGATGGGCAATGTGACATACATGATGGGCAATGTGACATACATGATGGGTAATGTGACATACATGATGGGCAATGTGACATACATGATGGGTAATGTGACATACATGATGGGCAATGTGACATACATGATGGGCAATGTGACATACATGATGGGCAATGTGACATACATGATGGGCAATGTGACATACATGATGGGTAATGTGACATACATGATGGGCAATGTGACATACATGATGGGTAATGTGACATACATGATGGGTAATGTGACATACATGATGGGTAATGTGACATACATGATGGGCAATGTGACATACGTGATGGGCAATGTGACATACATGATGGGCAATGTGACATACATGATGGGTAATGTGACATACTGTTAGAGATTAAGGACGGAGTCTATGAAGATTAGGGGCTGAAATATCTCAAAATCGTCAACTACAATTCTGGACAGAAAAGTCGTCGTCACAAGAAACGTCGTCGACGAAAGGTCCACTGTTAGAATTCTTTCAAACTCGAGTATGTTGTAGCCCTTGACCGTGGCTATCTTTCCCAATTTGAATAGTATCAGAATATGGAGTATAACTCGAGTTATGAACTTCGGCGCACTAGGGGGTATGCTGCCATAGAAAACGTAACTCAATCACAATGATCTCACAAGTTCACACAAGAAAGTTAGAGTAGCAATAGAACCAGGTAGGAGGGGATGAGGAGGACGAGAGGGAAGGTCCCAAGAGAGTCCCCAACCAAGGAAACCCCATGCCATACAATTCCCTTCCCCATAGGCAACCCAACTTTGACCTTTGTCACTATCCCAACCTCCACAATCCACCTCAACCCAACTTGGCCACACTTGCCAACCTGGTTTGGTTTCTCCCAACCATTTGGCAGCAACTACAGTAGAAAATACGAATTTCCCAACCCCCAAAAGTCTGTACCCCATATTGAGTCAACCCCACAACTTCCCATAGTCACCACAACCA